CATCATCATCGTCATCATCATACTCATCATCATACTCATCATCATCGTCATCATCATCATCATCATCATCATCTTCATCGTCATCGTCATCGTCATCGTCGTCGTCATCATCATCATCGCTCTCATCATTATAAGCACCACCTTCATCATCAGCATTCACATCGACCACATCCTCACGTCCTCCTTGTCGTGGTCATCATCCTTCTGGCTCATCATCGACATCATCACCATCATCGCCGTCGTCATCATCAAAATTACCGGACTCGCAGACCGGCACTGAACCGTGGACCCGTTGACCGGTTGATCAGCTGACCAGCTGACGGGCTGACCGGTTGACCGGCTGACCGGTTGACCGGCGCGCGGAAAAATTGACCGGATGACCGGGTGACCGGGTGACCGGGTGACCGGGTGACCGGTTGACCGGCTGACCGGTTGACCGGCTGACCAGGTGACGGGGTGACCGGGTGACCGGGTGACCGGGTGACCGGGTGACCGGTTGACCGGCTGACCGGTTGACCGGGTGACCGGGTGACCGGGTGACCGGGTGACCGGGTGACTGGGTGACCGGGTGACCGGGTGACCGGGTGGGGTGACCCGGTAACCGGTTGACCGGTTGACCGGTTGACCGGCTGACCGGTTGACCGGCTGACCGGTTGACCGGCTGACCGGGTGAGCTGACCGGCTGACCGGCTGACCGGTTGACCGGCTGACCTGCTGACCGGCTGACCGGCTGACTGGCTGACCGGTTGACCGGCTGACCGGCTGACCGGGGCATGTATTCCACCATAATGCTTTGCTAGTGACTGCCTTTTTTTCTGGGTCCTATCGGGTTTGGCAGTCGCGGGGGCTCCTGGGATGTCACGACTGTTGGTTTCAGGGAGTCGTGACAAGGGACGGAGGTTCACAAGGAAGTGTGAGAGAGGCTTGGGTCCAGAAGAACTGCGCCATAATCGAATCGAAGGCATTGCGATTCCCGGACGGTTTTCCGTAGCCATTATGGCCCAACACAAGTAGGAGATAATATTCTCGGCCATTCCCCAGGAATCTCCCTGTTTGAGGGGGGGCCGATCGGCGAGATTTCTCGCTGCGGCGCTGCCTGAGCGCCTGAGCACCGCAGCCCGCTTTGCGACCGAGTCGACCAGGCTCGAAGTCCTGTGCGAAAACATGGTTGTCCTCTTCACAGTCGTCCTCCTCCGCTTCAGCCTAGGCCTCTTGGGGCGTCTTCGGCGCCTCTTGGGGCCTCTTGGGGACCTCTCGGGGGTATCTTAGGGGGCCTCTTGGAGGCCTCGCGGTGCCTCCTGCGGACCTTGGGGGCCATCTGGGGAATTCTTGGGGCCATCTGGTGGACCTCTGGGTGCCATCGTGGGGGGCTTGCATGAGCGCTGCCCCTCCTCCTGGTGTGACTCGTTCGGGCTCCTCGTGGTGTGAGTCGTTCGAGGAGTGCCGTCGTGGATGTGAGGTCGTTGTCTGTTTGGTGTGAGTCGTTCGGGCCCGCTCGTGGTGTGAGTCGTTCGGGCTCCTCGTGGTGTGAGTCGTTCGGGCGCCTCGTCCTGGTGTGAGTCGTTCGGGCCCCTCCTTGTGGTGTGAGTCGTTCGGCCTCTTCGTGGTGTGAGTCGTTCGGGCTTGGGGGCCTCTTGGGGCCTCTTGGGGGCCTCTTGGGGGCCTCTTGGGGGCCTCTTGGGGCCTCTTGGGGGCCTCTTGGGGGCCTCTCGGAGGCTTCTTGGGAGCCTCCTGGGGGCCTCTTGGGGCCATCTTGGGGCCTCTGGCGACCTCCTCAGAAGCGCAAATGAGCGCTGCCCCCTGAGAAGGACAGAATGCCCAAAACCTTCGTGAATCAACGATTTTGCTATGAAGGAAGAGGAGCGCCTGAGCACCGCAGCCTGCTCTGCGACCGAGTCGACCAGGCTCGAAGACTTGTGCGAAAACATGGTTGTCCTCTTCGCAGTCCTCTGCCTCCGCCTCTGCCTCGTTTGATTCGGTTCAGTCGCGTCCCTGTGATCGCGCTTTTCGGGGGCCGTGGTTCCTTGGCCGGTTCCTGTGAGCTTGCCTTCGGTGGTTCCTCCGATCTCGGCTTTGCTAGTGACTGCCTTTTTTGTGGTTCCTATCGGGTTTGGCAGTCGCGGGGGCTCCTGGGATGTCACGACTGCTGGTTTCAGGGAGTTGTGACAAGGGACGGAGGTTCACAAGGAAGTGTGATAGACGCTTGGGCCCAGAAGAACTGCGCCATAATCGGATCGAAGGCATTGCGATTCCCAGACGGTTTCCCGTAGCCATTATGGCCCAACACAAGTAGGAGATAATATTATCGGCCATTCCCCAGGAATCCCCCTGTTTGAGGGGGGGGCGATCGGCGAGATTTATCGCTGCTGCGCTGCCTGGGCGCCTGAGCACCGCAGCCCGCTTTGCGACCGAGTCGACCAGGCTCGAAGTCCTGTGCGAAAGCATGGTTGTCCTCTTCACAGTCCTCCTCCTCCGCCTCTGCCTAGGCCTCTTGGGGCGTCTTCGGCGCCTCTTGGGGCCTCTTGGGGACCTCTTGGGGGTATCTTGGGGGCCTCTTGGAGGCCTCGTGGTGCCTCCTGGGGACCTCCTGTGGGCCATCTGGGGAACTCTTGGGGCCATCTGGTGGACCTCTGGGGGCCCTCTTGGGGGGCTTGTATGAGCGCTGCCCCTCCTCCTGGTGTGACTCGTTCGGGCTCCTCGTGCTGTGAGTTGTTCGAGGCCCGCGTCGTGGTGTGAGTCGTTCGGGCGCCCAGCCCTGGTGTGAGTCGTTCGGGCCCCTCCTTGTGGTGTGAGTCGTTCGGGCTCTTCGTGGTGTGAGTCGTTCGGGCCCCTCGTCCTGGTGTGAGTCGTTCGGGCTCCTCGTGGGGTCCCTTGGGGGCCTCTTGGAGCCTCTTGGGGCCTCTTGGGGGCCTCTTGGGGGCCTCTTGGGGGCTTCTTGGGGGCCTCTTGGGGCCTCTTGGGGCTTCTTGGGGGCTTCTTGGGGGCTTCTTGGGGGCCTCTTGGAGCCTCTTGGGGGCCTTTTGGGTGCCTCTTGGAGGCCTCTTGGGAGCCTCCTGGGGGCCTCTTGGGGCCATATTTGGGCCGCGGTTCCTTGGCCGGTTCCTGTGAGCTTGCCTTCGGTGGTTCCTTCGATCTCGGCTCTGCTAATGACTGCCTTTTTTTGGTTCCTGTCGGGTTTGGCAGTCGCGGGGGTTCCTGGGGTGTCACGACTGCTGGTTTCAGGGAGTCGTGACAAGGGGCGGAGGTTCACAAGGAAGTGTGAGAGAGGCTTGGGTCCAGAAGAACTGTGCCATAATCGAATCGAAGGCATTGCGATTCCCTGACGGTTTTCCGTAGCCATTATGGCCCAACACAAGTAGGAGATAATATTCTCGGCCATTCCCCAGGAATCCCCTTGTTTGAGGGGGGGCCGATCGGCGAGATTTCTCGCTGCGGCGCTGCCTGAGCGCCTGAGCACCGCAGCCCGCTTTGCGACCGAGTCGACCAGGCTCGAAGTCCTGTGCGAAAACATGGTTGTCCTCTTCACAGTCCTCCTCCTCCGCCTATGCCTAGGCCTCTTGGGGCGTCTTCGGCGCCTCTTGGGGCCTCTTGGGGACCTCTTGGGGGCCTCTTGAAGGCCCCGTGGTGCTTCCTGGGGACCTCTTGTGGGCCATCTGGGGAACTCTTGGGGCCATCGGGCTCCTCGTGGTGTGAGTCGTTCGGGCGCCTCGTTCTGGTGTGAGTCGTTCGGGCCCCTCCTTGTGGTGTGAGTCGTTCGGGTTCTTCGTGGTGTGAGTCGTTCGGGCCCCTCTTCCTGGTGTGAGTCGTTCGGGCTCCTCGTGGTGCCTCTTGGGGGCCTCTTGGAGCCCCTTGGGGCCTCTTGGGGGCCTCTTGGGGGCCTCTTGGGGGCCTCTTGGGGCCTCTTGGGGCGCCTTGGAGGGGGTGGGAAGATGTTGCACCTCCTGCCCCCTTCGCCAAGCTTGACCGGGTCGGCTAAACGCCCCCCCAATCAAGCTTGCCGAAGGGGGGCGGCCTTGCCTGGACTGTCGGCCGCTGCGCGCCCGAGAAGCCCTAAAAACGAAGAGCCTATAAAGATTTAAATTCTGGAATGCCTTCCGCCCCCTTAAAGCCCCCTCGGCCGCCCCCCCCCCCCCCCCCCCCCCCCATTTTGGCGCGCCCCTCGCGCAGATCCTTGCCCTCGGAGCGCCAGGAATGGCGTTCTGGGAGGATCTGCGAATTCCAGGGTGCGCCCCTCGCGAAGAGGCCTTCCCGTTGTGTCGCTTCGCGCGCGCGCGTCGCATCGCCAGCGCATCGGCCTTCGCGCGTCGCGTCGCGGGGCCGAGGGGTGACTCTCACCAAGCAGCGACTCGCCCCGAGCGCCCCGTGTCAAGCTGTGCAATGCATCGCCAAGGCGTTGCCAAGTTGCTGCGGGGAGCATGTGATGTCGCTTCGCGCGCGCGTCGCATCGCCCTTGCATCGGCCTTTGCGCGCCGCGGCGCAGTCCCGAGGATGCACAGGGGGGTCCCTCTCTTCGGGGCGACGAGTCATCCCGCGCGCCCGGGGCAACCACTGCGCGCAACTTCGCCGCAGCTGGGCGGCGCCCCTGCGTCGCACAGGGACTCGCGTCAATAAGCGTGGATTTTGCGCGCAACCTCTCCGCCCCTGGGCGGCGCCCCTGCGTCGCACAGGGACTCGCGTCAAAAAACGTGGTTCTTCAAATCGCGTCGTCGCGCGCGCGGGCCGCATCGCCGTTGCAGCCGCGTCCCAGGTGTCTTTGCGCGGCCGCGTCGTCGTCGTTTTGAAAACAATATCAACGTCGTCGTCATCGGTGTCGTCCTCGTCGTCGTTTTGCGAGTCGCGTGCTGATACCGCATCGAGATCAATATGTCTTGGGTCATGGGTGGGTGGGACACGGTCAAGTGGGCTGCAAATTTGGGCTAGTGGAAACTATGAGCCTATAAAGATTAAAATCTAAAAGCCCTTAAGTCCCCCCTTCGGCCGCCCCCTCCATTTTGGCGCACCCCTCACGCAGGTCCTTGCCCTCGGAGCGCCAGGAACGGCGTTCTGGGAGGATCTGCAAATCCCATCCCGCCTCCGACGCCCAGTAGTGCCGGATGGGCGCCACCGGGGCCCACGCGCCGGCCGCGTCGTCCCAGCCCAGCGCCAGGCCGGGCTCTGGTGGCGACGCCAGGCGCCGGCTCGGGCGCAGGGCAGTCGGCGACCAAGGGCGGCGGCGGTGGCGACGCGGCGCCGCTGCAGCCGCCGTCTGAGTCGCTGCCCGCGCTGGCCACGGCGGCGTCGGGCGCGGGCGGCTCCGCGGCGTCGACGACCAGGGGCCACCCGACGGAGTGGGGCACGGTCAAGTGTTGATACCGCATCGAGATCAATATGTCTTGGGTCATGGGTGGGTGGGACACGGTCAAGTGGGCTGCAAGTTTTGGCTAGTGGGCCCTAAAAATTAAGAGCCTATAAAGATTTAAAAATCTTGAAATGCCTTCCGCCGCCCTAAAGTCCCCCCTTCGGCCGCCCCCCATCATTTTGGCGCACCCCTCACGCAGATCCTTGCCCTCGGAGCGCCAGGAATGGCGTTGTGGGAGGATCTGCAAATCCCAGGGTGCGCCCCTCGCGCAGATCCTTGGCCTCGGAGCGCCAGGAATGGCGTTCTGGCCCGATAGAATCACAGGACGCACCCCTCACGCAGATCCTCGCCCTCGGAGCGCCAGGAATGGCGTTCTGGGAGGATCTGCAAACTCCCGGAGTACCGGGAGTGGCGTTCTGGGAGAGCCTGCGAAAGTGCAGGGTACTCCCCTCGCCCAGACTCGTGGCAGACGTTCATGGCCTCGGTGTGCCAGGCATGGCGTCAGTACTGTCCTTCGCGAAAGGCACGGGCGCGACCTCGACCCTCTCGGGTTGAGAGCCGCCCCCGTGCCCTTGCCCAGGGGCCGCCCCGTGGAGGCTGGACATGGCCCCCTGGGTTTCCGAGCGGATATGGCCGCCCCGTCGCGCGGTCACTCCGCGGCGCGCTCAAGCGCCGCGGAGCCAGCGCGGCGGGGCGACCACGGCCGCCCAGAAGCCGTCCTCCCCCGGGAGCCTCTCGCCGAGAAACTCTCAGAGGAAGGCGCAGCTGCGCCTCGTCGACGCGGCCTTCGCGCGCCGCGTCGCGGGGGGCGCGCTCGCCGAGCAGCGAACAATTCCTCGCGCATCGCGTCGAGCTGGGTTCTTCGCGCGCGCACGCGTCGCATCGCCCATGCATCGGCCCTCGCGCGCCGCGTCGCGGGCAGCGATCTCGCCCAGCAACGAATTATTCCGCGCGCCTCGCGTCGAGCTGGTTCATGCATCGCCAAGGCGTCGGTGAGTTTCTGCGGGGGGGTGGGGCTACTCGTGTTGGCGCCGCGCGTGCGCGCATCGCATCGCTCTTGCATCGGCCTCCGCGCGCCGTGGCGCGCGGGCAGCATCGCCGTTGCAGCCGCGTCCCAGGTGTCTTTGCGCGGCCGCGTCGTCGTCGTTTTGAAAACAATATCAACGTCGTCGTCATCGGTGTCGTCCTCGTCGTCGTTTTGCGAGTCGCGTGATGATACCGCATCGAGATCAATATGTCTTGGGTCATGGGTGGGAGACGGTCAAGTGGGTTGCAAGTTTGGGCTGGTGGACCCTAAACCCTAAACCTTAAACCCTCAAAAGTGCCCCACCCTCTCCGAAGCAGATTCTGGTCATTGGGAAGGCACTGGGAGGGGTCCTGGGAAGGCCTTCCCAGGGCCCTCCCAGGGCCCTCCCGGGGCGAGCGGAAGCGGCTCTGGAAAGGCACGCCGGCACTCGCGGCGCTCGCAGGCGCTCCCGGCACGCTCCCAGGCGCTCCCAGGCGATCTCGAAGCTCCCAGGCGCCCCGAAGCGCTCGCAGGCAAGGGTTCCCAGGCGCTCCCAAACGCTTCCGGCGCGCTCCCAAGCGTTCCCAAGCGCTCCCAGCGGCCCCCGGCCGCTCCGAAGTGCTCCCAGGCGCTCCCGGGCGGTCCCAGCACGCTCCCGGCACGCTGGCGGGAATGCCGCAGTCGCTGCATTTCGCGCCCGCGTCGCGACGTGGCGCACGAGCGGAAGCGCTTTCGGCGTCGCCCGACAAGCGCTCCGTGCAAGCCGTCGCGACGCGAAAGACGCGCAACGAGCGCTTCGGGGCCGTCTGGGAGACATCCGCCGCGCGGGAGGGGGCGCGATCTTCGAGCGGGCACGCGCGAAAGCGCTCTCGACGATAGCGCGCCCCAAGTGAGCCCGCCGCGACACCCGCAGACGCTAATGCGTTGTTGAAAAATAAGAGCCTATAAAGATTTAAATCCTGAAATGCCTTCCGCCGCTCTAAAGTCCCTCCTTCGGCCGCCCCCTTCATTTTGGCGCACCCCTCGCGCAGATCCTTGCCCTCGGAGCGCCAGGAATGGCGTTCTGGGAGGATCTGCAAATCCCAGGGTGCGCCCCTCACGCAGATCCTTGGCGTCGGAGCGCCAGGAATGGCGCCGGGCGCCCCCGCGGCGGGCGAGGCGGCCGCGGGCGCTGCGGCCCCCCTTCTGGGAGCTCGCGGGAGGGCGGCCCGGCGAACGCGGGGTGGCGCGCCGACCCTTCGGCGGCGCAGGCGGCCGCGGGCCAGCTGGGCGGTGCGCCCGCGGCGACCGCGGGGGGCCCTGCGTCGCAAAGGGACTCGCGTCAATAAGCGTGGATCTTGCGCGCAACCTCTCCGCCGCTGCTGGGCGGCGCCCCTGCGTCGCACAGGGACTCGCGTCAAAAAACGTGGTTCTTCAAATCGCGTCGTCACGCGCGCGGGCCGCATCGCCGTTGCAGCCGGCGCGCTTCTAGCCACGCCGCGACGCGGGCGCGAAATGCAGCGACTGCGGCATTCCCGCCAGTTGCGAAGCGCGCTGCGCGCGCTCCTGGGAGCGCCTGGGAGCACCTGGGAGCGCTAGGGAGCGCCTGGGAGCGCTTCGGAGCGCGCCAGGAGCGTGCCGGGAGCGCCTGGGAGCGTGCCGGAAGCGTTTGGGAGCGTCTGGGAGCGCTTCGGGGCGCCTGGGAGCTTCGAGACCGCCTGGGGGCGCTTGGGAGCGTGCTGGGAGCGCCTGCGAGCGCCTGGGAGCGCCTTTGCCCACTCTGGGATCGGTGCTGAGGGTAAGGGATAAGGGAGAGGAAGTCCACGTCGTCGCCGCCGCCGCCTCTCTTCGTCGTCGCCTTCGGCCTCGCTCCCGCGCCCGCTGCGGCCGCGGCCCACGCCTGGCGTGGCGCCTGCCTGGGAGCACCTGGGAGCGCTTGGGAGCGCCTGGGAGAACGTGCCGGGAGCGTGCCGGGAGCGCCTGGGAGCGCGCCAGAAGCGTTTGGGAGCGCCTGCTTGGATGGCCGCGGCGGTTGCTAAGTACTTAACATACTTACTACGCTAAGTTAAGTACTTAATAAGTAGTTAGCGGACTTAGCTAAGTACTTACTCAGTCATTACTAAGTGGCCCACTTAGTAATGACTTAGTAAGTACTTAGCTATCCACTTATAACCAGTTAGCTAAGTGCTTAGCGCACTTAGCTAACCACTTATAACCACTTATAGCTAGTTTGCTAAGTAGGTTATAAGTGACTTAGCGGTTACATTGCACTTGTTATCCAAGGGCCATGCACAGGGAAAAAAGGTAAATCCACGTCTTGAAAGAGCTGAGTTTGTTCGTTGAGCGCTGCAGCGCTACAAATTTTGCATTTTGATTTGGAGTCGGTGTCCTGGATTTTTGCTTTAAATATGAGAAGCGCTGCAGCGCTGCCTTCGGATTTATATGAACATGAAGCGCTGCGTGCGCTGAATATGAAGCGCTGCAGCGCTGAATGTTGAGTTAAATGCATGTTTTCTAGTTGCACGTTGTTCGGATCTTCATTTTCGCCCAGCTCCGTTTGCAAGGAATTTGAATGCACATGTCAATTATGTTTTGTTGTATTCGTTGTTTTTCAATGGTCGCATTGAGCGCTGCAGCGCTCCAAATTTGATAGCACGTATGTTACTTTGCGCTGCAGCGCAAAAAAATGGTTGTCGTCGTGATGTCGCATCGCGCTGCAGCGCGTGCGCGCTCGTGCTTCATGGGCCTCGGGCTGCAGCCCAGATCAACATTTTTGCTCGCAAGTTGCATGTCCATGCAAGTCGATGTTCACGCGCACGCCGCGCGACAGCTTGTCTCAAGCTGCGGCCGCGCGCCGCATCCGCCGTCGCGCCCGCGGGCTCGCACGTTGCATTCGGCGCTATATATAGCGCTGGCATGGCGCTGCAGGCGCGTCAGGAGGAGCAGATCTTGCAGTACATCGAGGAAAGCAATTCCTCGGGGAGGTTGGCATCGGGGTGGGATCAACTGAAGGAGTTCCTGCTGGCGGAGGGGCTAGCGTATTACCAGCAGGTCCCACCGAACCAGATGGGCATCGACATTCGGAACCGCAGCGGTTCGTTAGTGAACCCTGCGCGGGCTCACAATTTAGGCGCGAAGATTTGCGCCCAGGGCTTCGTCTTGGCCAAGACGGCTGCAGCCACTGCCTTCGAGGCCCCGCAGGGGGCGCAGTTGGAAGAGACCGCGATGGCGAACGACCGCCTTTCGCGGCTCAGCGGGGGTCGGTGCCCCCCGCTGGACTCATTGCGGTATACGTCAGTGGGCGGCTCCCACACGAACGTCTTCCTCCGCTGCGTGCTGGCCAAGGCGCCGACCACAGTGAAGGCGCTGGCAGACTCTCGGGACAACATCGACTCCGAAAAGCTGTGCGCGTTGCATCCGCAACTTGCGACGGCAGTCAAAAAGGGCCTGACGTGGTTGATCATCAAGCACGCGGTGGCCAAAGTGAAGGGCCTCAAGAACTTCGTGCAGAGGGCTTTGAACGCCGACGTCAGGGAGGCGGTTCACGAGACCGAGATCATTCGGTCAGGCTGCAGCCTATCCCCACTATAATATATAGCGGTATGTAGTAAGGACCAGGATGATGCACGAGGAGGGTGATGAGTGGGAGCGCGTTGGGGAGGAGGTGAGAACGAGGAGCAGGAGCATTATATCTTACCGTGCTGCAGCACTTGATCGGCTCGGCGCTTGCTGCAGGCAGGTGGGCGGATGCTCTTGGCACACAGCCTCGCTGAGGGTTCCAGCAAGCCCGATTGGCGCGACATCGCCGAGCAAGCGGGCCACGCGAACC